GTAATGCGATATATACAAGTGTATGACTGTTTATCTCCATTGAGAACAAGGCTGGAAGACTCATAAAGTATTGCCGCTTTGTATTAATTTTTATATCTTGATTTGAAGAATTTAGTCGATCGAGAGCTGAATCGAGATCAGATTTCTTTTTTTTATTTAACCAGATACGCCAAAATCGAATGATAAATACATTAAGCCATGCGAAATATATACGATCAACATATGATGTTTCCGTAGATATAAAAGCAAATCGAGTATTTCGAATTATCTGCAAATAAGTCAAAATACAATTCGTAGAATTTTTTTCGAGATGTTTTGTTACCTTCAGTCTCGAAAATTTAAAATAAACTTAGACCATAAGTTTTTACGGGATCAAGTGGTCAAATTTGTGAGATATACTATCCTTTAGTAACTTCTGAAATTGTTCTCTTATTATATCTAAGTGGCAGCTTTTCGAAAAGCTTCACTATAATCCAAGTACGTAATTTATATTTCAAAGTATTAGAATCTTTTAACATGAACTACTCATCGTAGATATCGTCTCAAGACGAATAGGTGTCTTGATCGATTTTAATTTTTGAAAGGTTTTATAGACATAAAAGGTTTATAGTCTTACTTATACATATCATTATAAAAGATTCAGACTGATTGTCAACCTGTCATTATGACAATCGCTAATATATGCGTATGTATGATTGCAAAAGATCATGCCGCAATTGTCAGTAGTGTTTTACTTTTTCTATAAATGAGAATTTAAAAATTATTCCAGGAAATATTTCTAAACCATATATCTGTTACAATGTTCTAAGAACTGTTCCGGTAGTCAACTTTTCTGTTTTTCATGGAATCTTCACACAAATGTTCATTTGTGAACAACTATAAGATAGTATCGCGAAAATGTAAGTCTAAAAGATAATCTCATACACAAAATAATAATGCACTTAACAGTACTGATTTGGTTATCTTTCTTTATATTCCTAGATGGAATTTTATTCGAAGACGATTATCTATCTTATAAAGAGATGATTGTTTTTATTTTAGTATAAAAATTCGATGAATTAAAAAAGAAAAGTTTCAATAACTTCTACAAGTTTGGAGTAAACTTACTTGAAGATAGATTTGAGTGGCTTTTGAATATGGAACTGACGAAAGAGCATTAAGTGCAGCTTCGCTTGATATCTTTTCACATGACGGATAATTTTGCCTGTCCTTTGGTCGAATATCAGATTTTACCAAATTGTGAGTCAGTTTTGATGATGATGATTTAATCAGTTGAAGAAGATGATCAACAGTTATAATATGATCACCCATCATCATTGAAGCTGTAGATGATAATAACCGATTTCTCAACTTTGTACACAAATGAATGCTATCCTGGGAAAATAAAATAAGCTGCTTGTTGCGCATGAAAAACCATGACCATGACTACAGAATAAGGATAAGATAATCAAGATCTAATGGGAAATGTTAGAACTTAAAAGATGTAACTCACTGGAGGAATGTTTACATGAAAAGCATTTTTGCGTTGATGAAATTTCTGATTTGACATAGTTGCAAAAAATCCCATTAAAAGACGCATTGAGCGTAAATACCGAGAGTCGCAATCAGTTGCAAATCCAACTAAATTTATTTCCCTTTTAACACATTCATCGACCATGTTCACCCATCGAAGTATGATGTCTTCGGTGATAAAACGATTATCAGTGCCATAAGCCGACAACAAAAATGGAGAACAAGAATTAGATGCTACAGTGATTGGCTGAATCATATGGACATTTAGAAGATTGGATATGTCAAGTGTAGAAGACCAATGTTCGAGTTCCGAAAACGATTCAGTAGAAAATGTATTGATTTGTGGTAGACCATCCTTCAGTGGTGGTGTAAAACCAGTAAAAGTATTTGACTGAACGTTATATGTTATTTTTGGTATAACAGAAGTACAATCTTCGGCAGCAAAAACAAACTTCGATCTCTTCGATGAAAGATAATCAGACATAGCATCATATCTAAATTCACCTTCTTGAAGATTATTTGTGCTAGAATCGATCAAAGCCTGAACTACAGTCAAACTTGGAAGAAGACCTGGTATGTTGATACGAATGAATTCATACACGTTACGACCACCGAGAATAAAGATACAAGAAGCAAATTCACGTATAGAAGAATCGTAGGAAAAACGACATTTCACTCGATCGTGATTCATAATTATAGTTTTAATTAATGTGCGTTTGAATTTAATACGAGTATCACTTCGTTCTGGTGAATCATTCACAAAAAACGGTACAATTTGTCGAAGAATAGGATATCGATCGAGAAGAACAGCAGGAATAGTTAAATCAGTAGATGAAAAAAAAGTTTCTTGTTGTTGAAATGTTTTTAAAGATTGTATGAAGTTATTGGCTTGAATAGAAAGACCAACCTTCACTTTAAAACTTCCATCATTAAGGGTAATTCCAACTTTCTTTTTTATGGGTAGAAGGTCAGGTGAATCATAATGGAAAAAAGCAAAAAGATCTTCAATATGAAGAAGGCAATCAGCCGACATCACCTCGAGGTATCGTAAAATTTGGACCATAGTAGCACCACATTGTTCTTGTACAAGTTGAAAAAATTCTTCACCACGAAGCTTGAAGACATTAACTGGTAATGTTGGAGCCATTAATGTTTTTTGCATCAAGCAAGATAGAATATATATAAATTATTAGTGCGTGATATTGAAATCTGAAAAAGTAGTAATTTAACTTGACATTACGGACAAAAAATCAATAGTAAAACAGTGAAAACAAATAAACAGCACATAAATTTGTTTCGAGACTTAATCGTAATCGGCCTATATCAGCACATCAAGAATAAATAGTATATAAAAATTAAAAAAAACAAGAGTTGTATACAGAAGTTTAAATTAAAATCTATAACAAAAAAACAATGTCGAAAAGCGAAATATTTTAATTACGTCGTTTTCTCTTTGACTTCGACGTATTAGAAGATAAATCAGTACGACGTTTGCTGCTGTGTAATGGAGGATCAACAGAATTAAGTTCCTTTTGAGTTGATGATGTTGACATGGATAAGTTTGAGTTTGTTGTGATCATTGACGTCGAACAATTCTCATTTACTTCAGTTGTATGTGTACTGTGGCTTTCGGATCGACGTTGTTTTTCAATTATCATCGAACATTTTTGTGATTTAAAATGTCGATAAATGTTGGAGAACTAAAACAAGAAATTCTGTTTATTACGGAGAATTATCTATAGAAGACTTAATCATTGGTTAAACTAAAAAATTAATTCGATCTTAGAAGTGTACGTGGAGAAAAAATATAATATTATCTATGAAAGGCATTCGCTAACAATTATTAATCTAAAAGAACTAGATCTTTTACAATGAATGTACTCGAGAGAAATATAACCAAATAAAAGTTGTATCTTTTAAATAAATTCTTCGCTTAACTGAATTAAGCATAAGGAACAAAGTTTTTGTAAAAATATTTTTTCTGAAAGAAAAAATTATGTGCGACGCAGTTTTTTGATTTGAGTCAAGAAATAAATGTATTGGTGATTATTTATCTACTAAGAAAGTCTAGTGCTCTGTTGTACATTCTTTGTCATTCAGTGAAGAAAATAAGCCATTCATTTCAATCGCTTAAACATTGCGATATGAAATATCTTATTGCATATATATTCTTCAAAAATCTTAGTGAAAGGCTGAGTAACCGCAATGTTATGCTAGTCCAACGTCGCTAACTATTTAACTATAATACTTATTCAACTTAATAATAGTAGATATGATCGTGTATGATCTAAAGTGAGTTCAATAAAAAAAAATGCACTTTTGCTTTATTCCAGAAATTCCTTTAGATCTAGTTTGGATACCCAAAATTGTCGCTTTGTCCAGAATTAGCTATAATAGATAGTAATCTGATGATAGATAAGATCTTTTGACTATGTATTCTATCTTTACATCTAATATTATGGCGATTGAACTCATTTGAAGATTAATGAGCTGAAATGCCACCAAGAATCTATTTTACTTTAAATACTACAAGCTATGGTCTGTCACTTGTTACACCGATTCTGAAAATTTTCAGTCAGACCAGTTTTTGATGATGGTGTTGAGAAATATGAGCAAATAGACTCATACAATCTTAGCAATTCTGATTCGGGAACTTTGTTTCATTTTTATTACGTTATTTTTGTTTTAAGTTTATCTGATTGTTTATATGAATTTCGAACTATCTTTGCACAAATGATGGCATTGGTTTTTGAAAAATTATATAGTGCCTTATAAACTAATCAGTTATATAAAGACTGGCATTGAAATTTAATGTTCTGAAAAGATAAAATTAAACCTAATTTAAAACATAATTCTACACAAATTTATATTTAATATTTGAAAGATCAGATATTGTATGAAATATTAAAAGAACAAGAATCAATAACTACTTACTACAAGAACTCCTCGCCCTTGACCGATGGCATGTTTTGTGCCACATTTACATCGAATAATAATACCATCTTCAGAATTGTTCAATTCGACTTTGAAATCAATATCTTCTTGAAAATTCATATTTACCAAAGATAATTTTTCACTATTTTGTTTAAGCCATTCGATAACTGTATTTACAATACGACTTTTAATTTCATATGTAAGAAGATGAGTCATTGATGGTGAAATACCTTGGTTCAGATCAGACGAAATATTAGATGTGGATGAGTTAATGGAATAATTATCCACAATTACAGGTGGTGTTGCTAAATTAGTTGACATAATGTTGGGAACAGATGAAACTGAAGCAATAGTAATGGATCGACGTCGTTGAGATTGTTTAAGAAGTTCTTCTCGTTTCTTTTTAAATAATTTAGTAAGATTGTTAACAGACGCTTCAACACCTGGTAGAAGATAAATCGAGCCATCATTCAATGTGATACACATGCTTTTTTTAAGATTAAATATTTCATCAGAATCGAGATGAAGAATAGCAAATATATCGTTGCATCCTAGAAATGAGTCAACACTATTGCACTCTTGAAAAGACATCAGTTCCGCCACTTTTCTTCCTGCAAACTGACGAATAAAATCATAAA